CCGCCGCACCCTGCCGGGACCACTGGTTCCCCGGCTTCCCAAGGCCCCACGCACCTGTGCCGCCTCCAGGCCTGGCTTGGGGGTGGAGGTGCCGAGGCTGGGTCGCACCCGGTGCCTCTGGCCCGGCTGCCCCTGTTGGCCACTTCGGCCCCCCTGCCGTGTGCCTCGCGGAGCAGCACGGGTTCGGCAGGGGCTGCCCTGGGCTCCGATGCGGTTTCCACGCGCGCGCTCGGTGGAACTTAGGCAAGTCGTGACCCTTCTGTGTGCTGCTGGTTCTCGTCGGAGACATTGGACGCTGGTGTTACTCACCAGGCCGACGGCGGGGATCAGTGAGTGAGCGATTCTGATGGATGTGCACGGGGCTCGAGGACCTCGCAGCAGCGGCCCGCAGGGGTGGGAGGGCCTCTGGCCTCTGTGCCCCAGTGTTTTCTGCGTTGACTGTGCTTGTGTAAAATACCAGGGGTGTTTTGTGTCAGCTCAGTGAGTTTGCGTTTGGCAAAAGAGATGTTGTGGCTGCTGCATCAAGTGTTCAGACTCTGAAGGAAGCGGCACACACCAGCTGCTTGCTAAAGCCGCCGCCTCCGCCCCCAGTCGCCTCAGCCCCGCTGGGCCTCGGTGGGCCCCGCTTTTCACATTCTCAGCTCTGCAAATGCGCACCCATGCTGGGCAAACAAAGGCAGCTCAGACCCGGCCTCAAGGAATTCTCCAAGCCTGCGGTGGGGATGAGACACAAATCCGACACTGAGCAAAGCACGACCGGCGTGCTAAGGGGAGTCAGAGTTGGCCTTGTCCGAGCGGGGTTCAGAGGCTGGGGGTGCTCACGGCTCAGCCTGAAGGGCAGGCGGGACTCGGGTTTTAGGCTCGGGGGATTTGGAGCTGCACGAGGAAGGAAAGTGCGGGCCAGGAAGCAGCCGGGGTCGGGGGGTACGTGAAGAGGCAGAGGGGCCTGGGTTGGGGCCCGAGACGACTGGTCCCCTCCTGACCTCTGCTCCCAGCGGCCATGCCCCCCCGGCAGCTGGGCAGCTGGGCAGCAGCCCTGTTTGATTTCGGCGTTTGTAAGAATGAATGAGTAAAGTGTGGGTTGAAGTCACGTGGGTGTGAGACGGTCCTCACCGTGCTGCCAGCTTGTTGCTGGCAAGGATCGGTTTCTCTGTAAGCTGCCTGGTTCCTGACAGGACGCAGTAACCTGTGTCGGCTGAGTGATGAGGAAATGCTCGTTGGGTGGGCCAGACGCGGTTCCTGCTGTCAGCCTGTTCGTTGTTCGTGAGTTTCCCTCATCGCAGTGGCTGAATCGTTTGTGTTCCTGGCTGTTTGGCACTGGCACAGGTGGCAGATACATTGGCTTCTCACAGAAATCGGCAGCAGGTGTGCCTGCTGCGGTGAGGCGCTCTGAGCCGGCGTTCCCGTGTGGTCCAGGAAGCCCCTGCCTGAACTCCCCCCGGGAGGGCAGGGGCCGCGGTGCCTGAGTGGTGCCTGAACCCTGCCCAGTGCTGCTGCAGTCAGTCCCCGGCCGCCCGGCCTGGCCCGGCCCAGGCATTCCTGAATCTTGGCACTCACTGCCCTGAGCTTTGGGGAATTTGGTTGCTGAATGAAGTCTCACCTCCGCCCCTTCTCGTTTTAGCCATTGACTGGGTTCAGATCGATGCCAACTCCTCCGTCCTGCATGACGAGTTCATCGCGCACCGGCTCGGTGAGTGCTGCTCTGGGGGAGGTGAAGGGACGGTGCGGCCGATGCCGCAGGAGGCCTCCCCACCGCGGGGCGCCTGTGGGCTCTCGTTTTGGGCATGGCTGTCTGGCTGCCTTGAAAGCGCGGGTCTGTGTCTTACAGGCTTGATTCCTCTCACGAGCGACGACATCGTGGACAAGTTGCAGAACTCCCGGGTATGCTGCGAGAGTGGCTGTGTGTGGCTCGGGTAGGGGCTTAAGGGCCCACAGGACTTGTCTTTGGCATCTGGCTGCCAGCATGGACTGCGCCGTGGTTGTAGGGAGACGGCGGAGATGTTGTCCAGAGCCCGAGGCAGGCGTCTTTGGGCTTGGTGCTGATGAGGATCCCATTGGTTATGTCCGTCTGGAAGTCTCAGGAGCCAGTCCCACAGAGGGGCAGCCACCAGGGGGCCTGCCTGTGCAGCACAGGGGCTGTTGCTTCCACAGCACCACCACCACCCCTGCCCCGGGGTCGGGGGGCAGAGGCACAGAGGTTGGTGTAGGTGCGGGCAAGGAGCAGAGGGGCTGGGCGCTGTCTCACAAGAGCAGCACCCCCTGCACGCAGGCAGCGGCTCAGGGAGCGGGCCGAGCAGGCAGCTGTGGGGCTTCCCGGCTCTCCGTGGGCTCCTTCCAGCTTCCCTCTCCGCTCAGGACTGCACCTGTGAGGAGTTCTGCCCCGAGTGCTCGGTGGAGTTCACCCTGGACGTGCGGTGTAACGAAGACCAGACTCGCCACGTCACGTCCCGAGACCTCATCTCCAACAGCCCCCGCGTCATCCCGGTCAGTGTCTGGAGCGCCCCCTCCCCCGGGGCTCTGCCGTGGCCGGCTTTGGCGGCCGGAGGGCTCGGGTCCCGGTCTGATGCCTACCAGCCTGGTGCTGGTTTCTGCTCGGGCAGCAGCAGCACTGGGGCTGGCAGCTGCTGGGGTGAGAGAAGCGGCCGCTGACGATGCAGTTTAGGTTTTCTTTGTGTCCGTCACCCAAGGGCCCTCCGAGAGGCCGGGGTCTTGACCACACCATGGAGCAGGCCCCTCCGCCGGCCCCTCTCGCATCCCGCGCTTGCGCAGAGTGCAGTCTGGAGGTGCTGTGGGAGGAGCAGCTGACAATTGCCTGGGTTTGGGCTCCCTACAGGTGACGTCCCGGAATCGAGACAATGACCCCAACGACTACGTGGAGCAGGACGGTAAGGGCTGGAGAGCGTGCGTGCGTCACCTTTGATAGAGCCTCTCCTGCCGCCCGAACTCGTGTAAAGTGGCCGAGGGCCCTTGTTTGCGTCGCGTGTCACCCTCAGCGGCACTGTCGGTCCACGCGGGGAGAGCCACGCTCCTGGCCGGGACTGACTCGCACCTCTCCTCGCAGACATCCTCATCGTCAAGCTGAGAAAGGGCCAGGAGCTGAGACTCCGAGCCTACGCCAAAAAGGGCTTTGGCAAGGAACACGCCAAGTGGAACCCCACCGCGGGGGTTGCTTTCGAGTACGATCCAGACAATGCCCTGAGGCACACGGTGTACCCCAAGCCCGAGGAATGGTATGCTCCAGGGGGAAGGCGGGTGTGCAGAGGGCTGCTGGTGCCGGAGGTGGGGCAGGCGGTCTGGGAACAGCAGCCTCTGCTTCTCTGACCTCAGGCCAAAGAGCGAGTACTCCGAGCTGGATGAGGATGAGTCCCAGGCTCCCTATGACCCCAACGGCAAGCCTGAGAGGTGAGACCTGGTCGCACGGGGGCGGGGTCTCAGTGCATGGCGTCTGCCGCAGGCTCAGTCATCAGCCGAGGGGCCGCTGCTGCTCACCACTGAACTAAAGCAGTGCTGTGTGCACATGCCCTCTGGTTACGAGAAAGGGGCTCTCCACTCACCCAGATGGTTCCCATTCTGATTTCCAGCCCCTAGTGTGCAGACTGTTCAGGTCCAAGCCAATTTACACATATTTACGTACATAGTTAGAGGCAGAGCAGGGCTCCATCTGCCCGTTCCCTGCTCAAATGCTTGCAACAGCCAGGCCTGGGCTGGGCAGGCCTGGAGCCAGGAATCAATCTTGGGCGCTCAATTACTTGAGCCATCACTGCTGCCTGCCAAGGTGAGCATGAGCAAGAGGCTGGAGTTGGGAACCAGGAGTCAAACCCAGTCACTCCAGCGTGGGCGTCCTAACCGCTGGGGGCAGACACTTGGCCCACAGCCCTCAGTAAGGCCCGCGGAGCTTAGCGTGCAGTGTGGTCTCTGCCTGCGGCTTTCCCACCTTCCCCCGCTGTGGAATGCATGCGTAAGGATTGTTGCAGGGTTTTCACCTCCCTGGGGCTGTGGAGCCCCCTGAGGTCCTTCAGTTGAGTAAGAGGCTTGGGTGCAGGGGGGTCGGCCCTGGGGCAAGGTCAGGTTCTTGGTGGGAGGCCCAGAGGGAGAGAGGGTGGTCTGCGGCTGACCAGGCCGCTTCGCGAAGGCTCTCACTGGGCTCCTCTCCCAGGTTTTACTACAACGTGGAGTCCTGTGGCTCTCTGCGCCCCGAAACCATTGTCCTCTCAGCCCTCTCGGGACTGAAGAAGAAGCTGAGTGACCTACAGACGCAGCTAAGCCACGAGATCCAGCGCGATGTCCTAACCATAAACTAGCTGCTGCTCGCCTGCTGCAGCAGGGAGCCCTCCAGCCTCTCCTGGAACCTGAGACCCGGCCTGCACTTGCTCAGGCTTCTCGGCGAGTTGTCCGTACCACTAGGAGGGCGTCACAGGTGGATTCCAGGGATCCACTGGACTTGAGCAGGGCCTGGTTTTCCTGGCCAGACTGCCTCTCGCATCCTGCTACTTGGCATGCTTGTCCGTGTGAAGAGCCACTGCGCCCGCCTTCTCCTGGCTCTGTAAACCCTCTCTCCAAAAGGGGGACATTCGCAGTTGCACCTCAGGCTGGGTGCTGGAACCTTCCTCAGGCTGCCTGTAACCCTTCCGCTCCTTTCCCCAAGGCACCTACTGGCCCTTTAAATTCAGGTGCCCGTAATTGGAGAGGTAGCCCCATGGGCATAGCGTTAGCCCCTGGCTGCCCCCTGCCCCCCAGATAAAGATGCTGTTTCATTCTTTGCATTGGCTACCAGCTCCTTCCCCACCCCACCGGGAGCCTGACCTTTCCGTTGGGTGAAGGTGGCGGTGGTGAGGGGAGGCTGGGCCCAAGGACCACCTCTCCTGATTTCTCCTGGTGAAGCTTTGGGGCCTGACCCCAGCACTGTCTCCAGGTAGGAGCATACCCAGAACAGCTGATCAGGCAGCCGGGAGAACGCCGGAGAGCGGGTACAGAAAGGAAGGGCTATCGATTAACAGTAGTTGTATTTTTAAAAGTTTTTATTTTTGGCAATAAAGAGCACAACATAATCTCCTTCATGCGTCATCGTGCCACTAGCTGAGCCAGCCAGCCGGGCCTCTGTCCCCAGGGCTTGGGGCGGCCAGGCCCCAGGTCAGGAGCTGCGCTGGCTGGGCGGGCTCCCTGGCTCCAGGGCTCCTCTGGGAGGGGCTCCCGTTTTGTCCTCCTCCTGCCTCGGCTTCAGCAGTGGTTATTTACAAGAAAGTCTAGTCCCACAAATCAGAACCCCAGAGTATTAAAAGAAACAAACAAAACCCCACCTCACACAACTGAAGGTTGGACGTGAATAAAAAGATAGCCCTTCTGCACTAGAAAATCAATTGCTTTAATTGCATCTCAGCAGGGAGCCTCAGCACCATAGGGGGAGAGCAAGTGGGAAGGGCTTGGTTTCTGAGTGCTTCTGGCCAGCCTATGGCTGGCCAGACCCGGGGGGAGGAGCTCCCTCTGCTGGGGCGCTGTCCACCCTGGTCAGTGAGGGGCAGCAGGGGTGCCTGGCCCAGCCCTGGGGTACTCAGCACCCCACCCCAGGGCCCCTTAGCCTGCTGAACAGGAAGGAGCCTGCGCAAAAAATACGTTTTCAACCAGATGTCACCTCTGCTTAAAACGCCCAAGTGCAAGGCCGCTGAGTGGCACAATCCAGGTCCTCCCTGTGCCACTCAGGGACAATGAGGCCACCTGCCACCCTGGCCCCGGGCTGCTTAGGAGAAGGCAGCGGTCAGCGCCAGCCGTGAGTGAATTGTCCCCTCCTCTGGCCCTGGCAGTTCAAAGCAGGTCCTGGTACAGGAGGGCTGCACCATGGAGGGCGGGCAACCTACTGCCCTCAAACTCAACAGCAGCCTTGACCCTGGCCTGGTCATGGGATTAAGAAAAGTGTATGTGTTGGCGGGAAGGGATAGAGGGGGGAATCTCATTAATATAGAATATGTCATAAGCCATATATATTAAAATCATTAACAGTATATAGTCCCGCGGAGCTCCAGCCCCTCACACATGCTCAGGCGGTGTGGCCAGCCCCTGGCCTTGGTCCAGCCTCACCCTTCTTCGGGGCAGAGAGGGAGCAGCTTGCTCCCTTCCTCCAGGCTCTTGGCTAACAGCCCCTCGAGACCGTCCCGCAGGAGGCCGCAGTCCGCCCTGCCGCGGGCGGCCCGGCAGTCATCGGTGCGTGTCGGCCCTGCCGTCACTGGGATGGGGCCTTGGTGTCGCTGCTGTCGCCCTGGCTCGACTTTGGCTTTAGCAGGATGAATCTGTTGAGGAGGTCCGTTTCCGAGCTGGCCTGGGCCGTCCCGTACCCCTCACCTACGGGCACAGAAGTAGGCTCAGAACTCAGATCCAGGGCACAAGACCCCTGCCCGGTAGGCCGTGTCCTCCCCAGGGCGTGAGGCAGAGCAGCAACCCACCGGCATAGCTGGCGGACTCGGCGATGTTCTGGGAGCCTGTGATGTGGTGCCAGTAGGCGCTGCGGGGCAGCATGGTGGTGGGCGTGCAGGGATACGAGTAGTGCTCCGTGCCCTTGTTCAGCAGCTGTGGGCGGAGCAGCGGGGCCTCCCCGTTAGCTCTGAGGACTCTGGCTGCTACACTCCCTGAGCCGCCGGCCCAAGCCCCCGCCCACGACGGCACACAGGGAGACGTGGCTGCCAGACCCAGGACCCCGGCCTCACCCTCACGTTCTTCTCCATCTCCAGCAGAACCCTCTTGTGCTGCTCGGCGATGGCGAGGGTGGCGCTGTGGACCCGCTGGTAAATCTGCTCCCCCTCCTGCGTCTGGAAGGTGTAGAGCCCCTCGCCAGCGTCGCACATCCTGGGGAGACAGCACTCACCTGCACACGCTTGCCCAGGCGGGGCGTGGTCAGGGCTCTGCCACGTGTGCCACGGCTGGGCTCCCTGCTTACGACCAGCAGCCCATTCCCTTTCCACCACCCACTCGGGGCTAACTATTCATAGTTGCCTTATTGTCATGCATGTTCTCAAGTCGTACACACAGGAAGCAGGCTCATGGGCGCCAAGAAACAGCGCAGATGGTACAGAGGGATTATACAGAACGTACGCGGGGCAGCCTGGCCCTGGGGCTGGAGCTGGGTAAGGTCAGCGGTCAGTGCCGCCTTCCTCCCGTTTCATAGGCCACGCAGGGGAGACAGCTCCACTCACGTACCCAGTAAGTGCCAGCATTTGATCTGAACCCAAGCAGTTGGCTTTTTCATTTTCTTTTTTTTTTTCAGTTTGGGAGGCAGACAAACAGTGAAAGGGACACAGCAAAAAAACCTCCCATTTGCTGGTCCACTCCCCAGAGGCTCCCAATGGCCAAGGCTGGGCTGAGCTGGGCCAAAGCCAGGAGCCAGGAACTCAGTCCAGTTCCTGCACATGGGTGTCAGGAACCCAATTATTTGCCTGCCTCACAGGGTCCATATTAGCAGGAAGCCAGAGTTGGGAGCCGGAACCGGGACTTGAACCTGGGTATTCTGGTAATGGGACACGAGTTCCTAAACCTCTAGGTCCAACTTCCGCGCCACATGAACTCACGCGATTTTTGTAAATGGTCTCACATAACCCACCTGTCCTGGGTAAGTTACTTCTCTGAGCCCAGATTGCCTCTATAGAATGGGAATACTACATTCCTCATGGGACAGCCAGGCTGAGAGAGGAAGCTCTCAGCACCGTGTCTGCCCGGAGTGGGTGGCCACCAGCACCGTGCGGACGGTGGGACGCAGTGGGAGGCACAAGGGTCCTACCGGCCAGCCTCAAAGGTGAACCGTGTGGCATCCCGGCCGTAGCGGCGTAGCGAGCAGAGCGGCCACGAGACGAGCTTCACGCGGGGGTTGTGTATGTCCCAGAGGTAGATGTTCTCGTGGGTGATCTGCAGCTTGCACTCGCCGTACACGTCCAGGTTGGGGCAGGGCAGCAGGAAGACGTTGAAGCGATCTGGAGCAGCCGAGGACAGGGCCTAAGGGGGGGCCTCGCCCTCTGCAGCCCCGCCCAGGGCCAGGGCCCCGCCTCACCTGTCTGCTCACACTGTACCCCAGGGGCCAGGAGGTCGGGCTCTCCCAGGCTGATGTCGTTGAGCCGCGATCCCAGACACTCCACAGACAGGGTCTTGTACCATTCCTCCGCCTCCAGCTCTGGACGAAACAGCACCTTGTAACCTCCCCAGCGCAAGGCAGGGTGGGCGGGGCCCGTGGAGTGCACCCGTGAAGGCACCCCCAGCCCCAGCTCCAGCCAGCCTCTACCTGGACCACTGGCTGAGCAGTGCCTCACCTGAGTCGCAGGTGAAGGTGCGTGCCGAGTCGTCAGTGAATATGATGGCCACCGCTTGCCGCTTGGTCTCCTTGGGGAGCCTCGTGACACACTTGACGTTGCTGATCTCAGTCACCTGGGACAACACCATGCACAAGGGCCTCAGCTCAGCTGCCCCGAGTGTGGGGGTGCTCTCAGGCGCTCAGCAGGCCCAGGCCCCCTCACCTTAGGGCAGCCTCGGAGGCACACTGACTTCTCGTCTGGATACTTCTCCAGCCGCTGGGGCCCCTTGCTGGAGGATTTCCGGAACACCAGCCAGCACCGCCGGTAGATCTGTGGGACGAGACCACAGGGGATCAGGCGCCCCGGACCACTCCCACCCCCATCTGGGGCCACTCCCACAGTCACCTGTGCCTGCTGCAGGCGGCAGGGCCACACAGCCCTCCCTGAAACCTGGGGATGGTGGTCACCGCCAGTGACCCGCCCTGGCCCTCTCCTCCAGTCTAGCAGGCAGTCCCTTCTGGGCTGGCTCTGAGCGGCTGTTCCACCAAGGGGGCGCTCCAGAGTCACTGTTGGCTGCGGCCACCACTCCAAGTTTAGTGTAAGTAGCTGACGTTTGCTGAGAGCAAGTCAGCTCCAAGTCATACAAGGCACAGTCCCAGTTACTCTTGAGATCGCTGCTCTTATCATTCCCATTTTATAGACGGGGAAAGTGAGGCACGAAAGAGTAACAGCTAATAAAGGGCAGAGCTAGCATTTCAAACGGGCTGTCTAGACCCGGAGCAGATACTTGCTGCCGGCTGCATGGACCTTTTGGCCAAGGCTCTCGCTGTGCCAGCCCCAACAGAGGGAGGTGCCGAGGGGCAGGGGCAGCCCCTTGCCCACCACCATGGGCGTCGCTGACACCCACTCCTGTCTCCAGGAGCTCACACTCACCCTGTTCGGTCTTTTATCAGCCCTGGAGAGCAGGGGGCTAGGGCGGTTTCCCTGTTGCAGCGGGGAGAGCGGAGAGAAAGGGGCGGAACGGAGAACCCAGGGCTACCCAGCAGCAAAGTGCCTCCCCTGCCAACGTCCTGTGCCTGAAGCCACCGGAACTCGCCACAGCTCCCCGGACTCCTCCTGAGACGCAGGGGGCAGGCAGGGAGTGGCAGAGGTGAGGGGATGAGTGACTGTGCTGTAGGGCTAAAGGCCACTTTGGCCTTTCCAACTCCTTGAGGCCCAGTCTGGCCGCCTCCCTCACCTGCTGACTTCCTGCTATGGCCCTGCCCTCCACCAGCTGGAAGCGGATGCATGGGTGAGTGGGTGGCCAGGATGCCCACCCCTTTCAGTGGCAAAGCCCCTTGCCCGGGCAGCTCTGGGGTTCCTCTCACTGGCCAACAGCAGGGAGACAGAGGCAGCCCAGAGCTGAGCGGACGGGGGCCCCTGGACCGTACTCCCCAGACCCTGCCCTCTCCCCAGCCCTGCTCTGCCATGGTGCCCCAGGTCCTCGACAGCCAGGGTCACAGGCACTGTGGCCTAGGCAGCCTGCAGGCCAGGAAGCCCCCAGAGCCAGGCAGGTTTTCTGGCTCCTGTATAGGAGCTGAGGAGGCGCATGCGCCGCCGGCCGCCGCCCTGGCCCGTATCCCCGAGCCCCAGCTCTCGCTGCACAGCTCCTTTAAGGCAGGGGTGACTTTCCTCTCGGGATCTCACGCCTATCCTGGCAGCCTCATTCACAGAGCACTGCCGAGCAAGTGAATGACCACGGCAAGGGACAGTGAATGGGCAGCCGGCCGGGTGAATGGATGCTGCTGCCCCAGATGCACCCTCCCGGGCCGGGCTCCGTCGTCGAGTCGGGGCAGAGGGCCCGGAGGCCCTGCACCCCGGTTGCCTGGTTACAGGAGACACTCATGCAGCCCCAGGGAGCCAGCGCTCCACAGCCCTCCTCCCCACTTCTCCCAGGTCTTTGATCAGCACTTCAGAAACACTCTGGCACGGGAAGGCCCTGGCAGGTAGGGGGTGGGCGCCTGGTGCCTGGCCGCCCCTCCCCCTTGCCTCTGGGGGCTGAGAGGAGGATGGCTGCCCCTTCACAGCAGGGAAGCACAGCTCAGGTGTGCAAAGGGAAGGGGGGGACGGTGTGGGGGGGAGGCCAGGTCTGGCCACGCCCCACTGCCCAAGCCCTCCCCATGGCTGTGCCCACCTCTTCCCCTTGGGGTTCCCAGATCTCCTGGAACAGATCTGAAACAGCTCAGCTGAGCCCAGCCCGACCCTCGGCCCCCAGGACTTGCCAGGTCCAGGCCACGGGGAAGGAGGCGGATGGTCCACACCGGCCCCTGCTCCCTCGGCCCCTGCCCTCGGCCTCAGCCTCTCTGTGGTATGCTCCAGGTCAGTGGGCTGAACCCCGCTCTAGGGGACGAGCCAGGGCCCAGTCTCCACTGGACGGGGCCCAAGGAACCCAGAGGGGGAGGAGGGAAAGGGCCATCCCTTTCTGGGGCCGGCGCTCCGGATTGGGTCTGCTCCGCTCCGGACCCCCACCAGGCTGAGCCAGGAACACCTGGGCCGTGTGGCTCCACCCCACGTCAACACAGGGAGAACAGGTACAACTAGATGTAGGCCACTGGGTGTCCAGGGCTTCCTTCCTACTGGGCAGCTGGGGGAGCAGCTGGCAGACCCCCACCCCGAAGGCAGGAATAGGGGAACAGCCAGGGAAACTGAGGCAGCTCTTGTGTAAGTTCCCGGCAATCATGAAGGTGATCCCTGGGTACCCTGCTCTTGCCTTCTGGCGGTGCTTGCCCCAGGAGGGGACCTGCAGATCCGGGGAGGGGTCCACGGCCGCTCCAGCTCTCAGCTCGGGCTGGGCGACAACTTGGAGGGAGGCAGCGGTCCCAGAGCCGCGAGCCTGAATGCCTTAAGTTCTCTACAACCCACAGCCGCGGTGGCTTCTGCCCCTCACGCCGCCCCGCCCCGCCCCGCCCCGCCCCCGCCGGGCCGGCCCTCTCCTTCCACGCCGAAACCCACCGCCGCGGCCAATAGCTACACAGCCGGGGCAGCGAGCACGCGGCGGCAAGCGCAGAGGGCTGACTTCAAAGAAAAGAGGCCAGGGGAGGTGGGGGCAGCAGAGGGGAGGGGCCGCGCGGAGGAAGCCAGGGGAAGCGAGCGGCGGCTCCCGCCGCAGCCGTGGAGGTGACAACTTCAACAATAGCCGGGGAGCCGCCTGGCCAGCGGCCACGGGCACCGCTGGCCAGCGGCCGGGGTGCCGGCCGGTCCGGCTGGGGCGGGGGGCGCGCGCCAGGCAGCCCAGGCGGTGACAAGCCGGGAGACCACACACACCCGACGCCCCGCGTCCCCGGCGGGAGGGGGGGCCCAGGGAGGGTCGCTCACCCCCAGCTTCCTGCTCTTCATCCTCACGTAGCCTTGCTTGACGATGTCGTTGAAATTGGTCGCCATGGTGGCCTCGCGGGGCTCTGGGGTGCCAGGCTGGCCCAGGGCAGGGCAGGGGAGAGAGGGAGCCCCAGGTGGGGCCCGGGTTCCCGGGTCCCCCGGGATCCCCTTTCCCAGGGCGGGCCTCGGTTCGGTCGGGGGTTCCCGCTCCCCTCGCCCCGCCTCCAGCATTTTTTCTAGCAGCTCCCTGTGCCGGGGCCCGGGCGCAAAACAAAAAATGACAGGGGAGGATTTAGAGGGCAGTGACATCTTTCTCTTCCCCTAGCTGGCTCCTCTTTTTCCCTTCCTCTTCCCACACTCCTCCCTCCCGCCCTCCCTCCGCCCGCCCTCCTTCCTTCCCTTCCCTCCCCACCCCAGGACGACAGAACCATTCAGGAAAACCGAGGTGGAGGCAGCGCCGGGGAAAATGGTCCAGCCCAGTCCCCTCCCTCACGGCTGGGGCTGGCAGTTAACCCCTTCCTGGGAGGACTGGCTCCAGCTCCCACCGTGGAGGAGGGGGTGGCCAGCCCGGGGACCCCGGCTGGGCCCAAGGAGCCGCTGCTGTCCCTGGGCTCTTGGCCATGGCCCCTTCTCCTGTTACAACTTCGAAGCAGACACAGGGCAAGCAACGTGCACGCGTGGACCCCCACCTGGGCACAGGAGCCGCCGGGTAGAGCCTTCGCGGGCAGGCGGTGCTGGGAGGGGCAGGCGGTCCCCGGAGTTGGCTGAGTGAACACCAGGCTCCCCGGGGTTAAAGACCACCTGCCTCTCTGGCCTCAGCAGCCCCCCCCCCCCACACACATATGCCTCTGCCCCACCCTGGCTGTACCCCAGAGCAGCTACGACTCAGCCTCTGCAGCCCAGGCCCTGGAATTCTCCCCTGGTGCCGCTTCCTGGGTGGGAGGGCAGAGTCCAGCGGGGCGGGCCTCGAGATTAGGCTGAGGAATGTGCTAGGCCGGCTGGATGTGGCCACTGCGGAGGCAGGCGCCTCCCCTGGCCACGCAGTGGGGAGGACCCCGTAGGCTGCTGGAGCTCCTGCTTGGTCCCATGCAGGGAGGGGGACAGGAGTTAATTACAGGAGAAGCAGCCAGGGCCTGGGGCACCTCGGGGAAGCCTGGTGGGGTGGGGTGGGTGGGTGGGGTGCCAGCGATCAACAGATAAGAAAGCCCAGACTCAGAGGGATCTCCGTGGTGACCCAGTCTAGCACATTTGAAAGGTGGGAAAAGAGAGATGCCCAGAGAGGGCAAGCCACCTGGCTATGGCTACACAGCAAGCACAGAGTGCGGCCATGGCTGAAGGCATGGTTCCAGGGTGGGCAACTGAGGTCAGCCTGGGCCAGAAGGCCGATGTGTGGAGTGCCACTGGCTGCCTGCCACCAGGTGAGCCTTAGGGGCAGGGCTGTGCCGGCCCCTGCCCCCAGCATCTCCCAGATCACCAAGGGAGAAGGCAGCGGCATTGCTGGGTCAGCTGGGCATCTGTGCCACCAGGCCGGGGCCCTGGGGCAGGCATCCTGTTGGATGTGCCAGCAGCTTGGCATTAATTAATCTCCAAGAGGCCCTAAGTGGAACAGATGGGGCTACCCGAGTAGCACATGGAAACTAGGGGCAGGGCCGAGGGGTACCGCTCCTGGACCCCACGCCTGCCCTGAGGGCCCCTCGGTGCGCCCACCCATCCCCTCCTCTACCCCAGCGCCCATGCTGCCTCCCCGCAGCACTGTCACCCCTGGGCTCGGGCACGCAGAGCGGTTCATTTGCCCGCCTCTGTCTCTGCTCTCTGCAGGCTGGCCACTGGCTGCCGGCCCCACCGCGTGGGAGGCCCCTCTCACAACACACCTCCAGGAGGCCACAGCCCACAGCGTGAGTCCAGCAGGCTGCCTGGTCCTGGGCACGCCCCTCAGCTTCTGTGGGCCTCAGTTTCCCCAAGTTAAAAAAAAAAAAAGGAGGCTCTGTCCACCTACAGTAAACGAGGAAATGCGTCCAGGAAGCACCTGCCTGGCGGCTTTGGACCCAGAGCCTCATCTCTCAAACTCTAAGGGATGTTTTTCTGTTTAGTTCTCTTTTCTCCCCAGGAGTTGCTACCCAGTCAGGGCCACCACCAGGAGCCAGGCTTCCGCCCGCCCAGCGCAAGCTGTCTGTCCTCCTGCACTGCCCGCCCCAAGCCCCAGGCCTTGGAATCAGCCCCTATCCTCAGGGACTCCAGGCCAAACACAGTCCCAACTGAGATTTGAAGAGGGAGCCTCAGCCTGGGACCTACAATGGGCTGTGGGGGGGTGAGGCGGGGGGAAGGGCAGGAGGGAGCAGGAAGGGCCAGCAGGTGGACCCACAAATTTCGCAGGCAAGGGGAGGCAAGGGGGGGGTAGCCCAGAGCCAACCCATCCCCCAGAGGGACCAGAGGGACAGCCGTGAGGAAGTGTGAGGCAGGCCAGCACTGGGCCAAGGCGCCCGTGCCCGGGGCCGCTGCCCTCTCGCTCCGGAGCCACCAGCCGCCTCTCCAGGCCTGCAGCGGGGACTTGAGTCCTCAGGCCTTTCCCCAGCACTGGGTAGGAGGCCAGGGAGCTCTGAGCACCCAGAGGCACTACGCAGGGTGTCCCACAGCCCCAAGGCCCCCCACCCCTCCTCCCAGCCTGGCACCAGCAGAGGTGCTCAAGCAACCAGACACAACCTGCCCTGGGCCAGGCCAGCACAGGCGCCCCGGGAGCCAGGCAGGTGTGCGCTGGGGAGGGGGCAGGGAGGCTCCCTGGTGCCCAGCAGAGGGGTGGGGCCGGCCGCCCTGCCCACCTCCCCACGGGGCAGCCAGCTCCCCCAGCTCCCCACCTGGATTCTGCCCGGAGGCTTTGGCTCCAGAACAAACGCTACTCGCTGAGGCTGGCAGCCAATGAGAGTGCGGGAGCGGCGCCGCCTGGCTGGGTCTCCACCCCCCTCCTGCCGACGGGATCTTATCAGGGCTTCAGGGACAGCCCTGCCTGGACACCATCTCGCTGTCATCTGGCTGTCTCTGCCCCACGGCGAAGATCCTATCTCGGGGTTCTCTCCCAGCCCTGCCTGATTGCTATCAGGGGCCTGGGACACCAATCCTGACAAGGGGCCGCCCTGGTGGGTGGCAGCAGACAGACAGCAGACAGACGAGTGCCCAACTGGCCGCGGTGAACGCTGGGAGGAGGGGACATCTGCATCGCCAGGGTCCCCCAGACCCTCGGGCCAGAAAAGCGGCGCTGTGCCCCATACCACTGCCACTCCGCTCTCAACAAGCCAGCTGCCTTCCCGCACAGAACTACTAGGCCTGCCAGTCCCCCATACAACACTGGTTCTTCACCTGGCCTCAGCGTTCAGTCCACTACTCCAATCAGGTCTCAGCACAAAGGTCACCTCCTCTGAGAGGCCCTCCCTGACTACTCCCGCCGAAGGAGCCCCGCCTGTGAGCATCTCTCGCAACACCCAGTGTCCTCGGCACATGCGTCATTATGGGATTTTCTTGCTCCTTCATCTCTGTCTGTTACTCAGCCAGACAGAGACACCCGGCACCCCACAGCTCGGCCTTGCCTGCGTAGTTACCAGCTACCTACTGTGGAGCAGGTGCACCGTCCTGGGGTCTGAATGGACAACCCTCTCCAGGATCTGTCCTCCTCGCCCCCTCTCCCACCATCACCAGCGTCCATCTGGCCGGCCTGGGCTCGGCTTCCACAGGTGTGTGAGCAGTGGCCAGCTCCCGCCTCCATGCTCCCGGAGCTGTCACGGCCATGAGACCTGTTACTGGACTAACAGCCCGGCCCCAAACCCCAGTGCGGCTCAGAGCTGCCACAGGCGAGCACAAGGTGTCCCCGCTGTGTCCGGCTCTGGGGTTGTCGGGTGAGGCCGTGCCCAGCCCTATCTCCGTGTCTAGGAGGAAGCAGCTCAGAGAAGCTACCCACCGGTGAGAGGGGGCTCCGCTCCTGGGACCCACACCGGGCGGCCTGGGCTGCCGCGCGTCCCTCTCCAAGGGACCAGGACAGAAGGAGGACCAGGAGCGCCCAGCTTCTGGCAGGGCCCCTCCAGGCCCTGGACTTTCACGCCTGTCCACCCCAAGCCCACCTGCAGCAGCTGCCATGCACCCAACAGCACAGACAGGCTGCACCCAGGCCCTGCTTTGCCCACCCCATCCGGGTGCACAGCCTCTGCTCGTGCCCCTTTGCAGGAACAGCAAAAAACCGACCTGGAACCAGGGCCCTGCTTGGGGGAGGCAGGGGACAGGGCTCCAGAGCAGGGAGGAATGGGTCAAGGCCGACAGGCAAGCTGCCAGGTCGGAGCTCCATTAGCAGGTGGGGACGGATACTAGGAGCCAGCGGTTGGGGGGGGGAGGGGAATAATCTCTTGGGACTTGGGGGAGGTGAGCGCCCAGGGAGCCCCGTGCGAGTGGAGAAGCCAGGAGGAGGCTGGGGGCTGCCGGGGCTGGTTGGCAGGCGCCGTACCGCCGGGCCTGGGTTTCTCCGATGGAGTGTGTTGGGGGGTGCGGGTGAGGTGAGGTCCCGACCTCGAGTCGCCGGCGAGGAGAGCTGGGGGCGGGGGAGAGCTGGGAGCGGGTCCCTGAGCGCCCTCCACCCTTGGTAGAAAGGTCTCGCGGGTGGCACAGTCTGCAGGATCTGGAGGCGAGGGAGGGTCTTGCGAGCTCGACGCGGCCCAGATTCCCCCTCCCCACCTCTCTTCCCCCCCTCCTTCATTTACCTGGGCGCCGAGGCCCGGGCCGGGGGCGCTTACTCGGCGGGCCGCGAGGCAGACTCATGCCCGCGTCACCGCGCGGCCGGCGGGGGCGGCAGGGCGGCGGCGCCGGGCTCCGGGCGGGGATGGCGAGGGAGGCGCGGCCGCCGGGCTCGGGCTCCGGCTGGGGCTCGGCCGCGCTCGCAGCTCCGCCCGGGTCCCGTCGCCCCGCCCCGCTCCGTGCAGCCCCGCCCCGCCGGCGCGGCCCGGGACGGCCCCCGCCGTATTCCTCCGAGCCGCGGGACACGCGCGTCCTCCCGGCTCTCCGCCCTGCAGGGCGCCCTCGGTGTCCGCGGCTCAGCCCCACCGCGCCGCCGTGGGCCGCAAAGCCCGATTTCGCATGGCTGCTCAGCCTGCGAGAGC